TCTTTGGGGTCCCTAGGTGACATTAGGGGTCTGAAAGATCTCTGATGTCTCCATAAAGAGGATCTGTCGCATTATATTTCGCGTAGGCGCGTCGGATGCGCCAACTTGCAAAAACAAAAATTGCGCCACACATGTTACATGTCGTCGCGAGCATCGGAGTGAAAGCAATAATTCTAGGCCCATCAATCACTGTTAGCACTAAAATGATGAGCCGTAAAAGCATTTAAAGCGTTGCCTATGGGAAATTTTGGTTATTGTAGTTTTTGTGCGGTTTCACAGACGCACGCAATTTTAAGCCTTGACATGTTTGGTATCTATTTACCCGGCATGACCCTGTCTTTTATATTTTCCCAAAAGATTGGGCATTATATTCTGTTTCTGTGCATTAGATTTCATTTTAGTGTATTTTATCCTAAAAATACTGGTTTGATAAACATTTGCGCAAATACCGTGCGACATAAAAAATTTGCAACTAGCATCTTTTTATTCTACAGGGCCTCTGCTTTCAGAAAATATATCATTGTTTGGGGGTCTGAAGCTGTTTTCTAGCCCAAAATTCAGATTTTATCATCTGTGTGCAAATGTAAGAAATTGCTCCGGGCAGCAAGTGGTTAAATAAAGGAAAAAAAAAAATCATGTATGCCAGGTAAGATATACATGGTGGTATGTGGGCAGCCCTTTTGACATTCATACGTGTGCGGTAACTCATTGCACGCCAATGAAGCTATGTGAATAGGCCCTTAAGGAACTACAATCCCCAGTTAGCCTTGTCAGTAGGTTGTTGACGCTTAACCTATATCGGTTTAAAGCAAAGCCTTGCTGCTACCATCCCCGATAAGTGCAGCCAAGTTGACAAATCTGCGTGCCAAGCTCACACAGCTGTCCAACCGAGACAGGAAGCTTTCTGTCACAATAACTACCTTCGTTTTAAATTACTCAGTAATTAGTAAATGCCTCCCCTTGAATACGGAATATTGCTTCCACAAATAGAACAAACAAGTAGTTACAGATTAGACATGCTCTGTGTCTGTGCCACTAAAACACGAGCGCTCAGCCAAATTCCCATAGCAACCAGGAGAGCATCAACGTGTAACACGGAGAAAGACTTCTGACAGCTGGGTTACATCATCAGCCCATCTCGGCATCGCCACTTGCGCGGGTGTTTTGCTGCCGCTCTCCTTTGTGCAGGATTGACATATAAACCCAGCAGGACCTAAATATAAATAGTGGCTTTGGCAATCACTAGGTGAGGGCTTATTTAACAAAGAAGTGCCAGCAGCAAAGAGCGATGCTCACTGGGGGGGGGATTTACTAAAACTGCAGCAGACAGATTCTGGAGCAGCTGTGCATAGTAATCAGAATCAAACGTGTTCAGTTAAAAGGAGAACTATGGGGTTAAGTCTTTTCGCCATAGTTCTCCTTAGGGTAACGGGAGGACACAAACTAGCGTCCTCCCGTCACCCTAAGCTCAGTATACCGCGAGCCACAGCGGGGAGGGGGGAATCCAGCCCCTCCCCTGTCACGGCAGAGAGCCGTGACAGGATCGAGAGGTGAGCAAACGCCGGTATGTGTTCGCTCACCTCCCAATCTGCTGAGCCGACCAGTGACAGTCTCATTGTCACAGGTCGGCTAGAACTATGAGGTGAGTGAAAAGCACTCACCTCTTAGTTCTCCTTTAGGCCCCGTTCACATATAGCGAATTGTCGCACGATTTCCGCCGCGATATCGCGCATTTTTGCCGCGCGATATCGCGAGAAGTCGCCGCCCAATGTTATTCAATGGAGCTGTCTTAACTCCATGTCGCGGTCGCAAGTCGCTTCTACCGGACCCTTTTTTCGGCGGATTTTGCACGATTTTACTTTTTTTCTATGGAGCCCGACGGGGAAGGTCGCGCTACCGTCGCTGGATCGTCGCCCCGAAAGTCGCGCTATCCCGGCCGTGCGGATCCGCTGCAAAAGGTATGTCGCTATATGTGAACGGGGCCTGAAGGTTTGAAAATGAAAGGTGGAAGCTGATGTATTGCCATATCCCACCTCAAGCTAGCCACTCAACCATCACATTCTCAAACAATTCACCCACACACAGCTACCTCTCATGTATCACTTGCCCCTCCCTCTTAGATTGTAAACCCTCAGGGGCAGGGACCTCCTTACTACCTTGTCTTGAATTGTATTGTAATTGTAATGTCTTCCTTATATTGTAAAGCGCTGCGCAAACTGTTGGTGCTATATAAATCCTGTATAATAATAATAATTCACAGCTGCCCCAGATTCTGTCAGCTCCAGTCTTAGTACATTTTTTACTGGTTTCACCAGATAGTAGGATACACTGTAGGTTTTGACGATCACTTCCTAAATTTCAGGTTGGGATATTGGAGCTGTCCACCAGTTCTGACCAACTCTTCTTCCCTGCATACACTCAGTAACGGGTAGACATGTGCACTGCCAAAACATTTGTTTAGTTTCGTTTCAAATTCGGATTTGTGTTATTTCGTTTTTCGGGATTCGGGTGTGAAAGTCAATTCGGATTCGGAATTCGGATTCGGACAAAATTCATTAGCGGTAGTTCGTTCGAACGTTCGTTTCGTTTTCGTTTCTTATTCGTTTCGTTCATCCGTTCGTTCGTTTGCAGCAAAGTGACATTTGAGGGGGAAAATGTTTTTCTTCAACGGACGAAACGAATAAGAAACGAAAACGAATGTTCGAACGAACTACCGCTACCGAATTTCGGAAACGGAAATTCGGATTCGTTTGCATTCGTTATATCTGTAATTCGGAATTCGGATACATCCGAATTTCCGAAAATTCGGCCGAATTTCGATTCGGAACTAAACGAATCACACATGTCTAGTAACGGGGTCTTCCCTGTACTGAGTAATGGGCGCTACCATATTTTTACTTTGACAGGCTCCTTATTAAGGACTTCGTAGGCCTCAAGCACATGGCGATCGAAGTTACATCTGGGAAATCCTGCAGCAAGAACCTGTTGCTTCTTGTGGCAGGAATCCCACCATTCCTGTCTGTACAGATGCGGCCGTTGTGCCCATTCAATGTAATGAAAGGCTGACAGTGGCCGCATCTGTCACGTAATCGTATATATGGAACAATAACCTGCGGATCGGGAAAAAATGCTTGTCAAGCATCTCTCCCGATCCGCAGGAAATCGTTTCATGTATGATAACATTCGGACAGCTGCGGACAAATGCAGCCGCTGTCAGCCTGTCATTAAATTGAATGGGCACAGCGGGCGCATCTAGGGGTTCCTGCAGGTTCTTGCTGCAAGAACCCCCAGCCACAGCTTTGATTGACGTGTACATAAGGCCTTAATATTTTCGAGGGTGTACCGGACTTAAGGAAACCTAATACGGGATGAATGTTGGTTACCGATGCTGACCTTCTGCTAGCCCCTCTGGTACTGTGAAATCACTCACTAGGCCAGAGGATCAGGGTCACAGTTGGGAAACGAGCATTTTTCAAAATAGGTTCAGCATTGGCCGCCCACGTATTTCTCTCTGGACAGGTTTCCTTTAATAGAAGACTGAGGTGACAGGATTGTATGATAATCGCTATGGTAACACATGGCGAACAGATGCACCGGTGAGTTATGTCTATAGCATCCTGCTCTGGCTCTGGGGTTCCTGTCCCGCTGTGCACCAGTTGTCTCCCAGTCAGGATCTGTGTTCGTTTTACAGAATGCCTCCGCTACCTGAAGTGAGAACATTTCATGTGCAGAAAATAAAAAAAAAAAAACTGGAAAAGAAAAACCTCGGGTTTGATGTATTTTTTCAGCTTCTACTGTGACAGCTCTGCCAGAAGTAATAAATATTGTATAAAGCCTGTCCGCATAGTGCAGCCACCAAGCCTGATTCCCGATTCCCATAGCAACGCAGGGCTAGATTTACTTATCTCAGAAACAAATACACCGGCGTTTCAGCAAGGCCTCGGTGTCTCCATATGAGTGCCTGGTTACCTGCCTTTTACACTGTGTAAAGAGCACTTGTCACCTGTGGACTGGTGCTGAAGCCATTATGTGAGAGGAAGCAATATTCTGCTCAACATTCCCAAAGCGGACCTTCACCCTGAAAAAAAAAATTGCTTCCCTTAAACCCCCCTTCACTAAAAAAAAAAAATGAAATTCCCGCTTTTTGTTGTTTGCTTGCCCTTTTTTTTATGGTTCACCCCCTACCACCATACCCCACCCTTCATCCATTCTCACTGAGGTTCTGCTCCTGGTGCCTCCCGAAATATGCACTGCAAATATCTCAGGAGGCATCAGCTTACAGGTAGCGGACGGCTGTCACCTGTCACCAAATGCTGTCACCAAAGGTGAAGTCCTTTAACGTTAACCTATAAAATATTTATATTAGCCCCTGTAGTCACTTTTGCTGTTGTCTAAGGACTACTCTGGAGCTAAGAGTCAGAGCTCAGAGGCCCCTAAGTTCTGGCAATTGCTTCCTTCCCTGTGAAGTGCATAACCTCATCCTGACCCTTGCTGTCTCTCAGCTGCTAAGTATGCGTAACAGCATCAAGCAGCAGAGATCCATAGTTGCCTTCCAACTTCAAACAATATGAATGTCACACTTCAAAAACAAACTAAAAGGGTTCATCACAAAAGGGTGAAGGGTTTGGAGAAGGCCGGAGAAGGGAACAATCTAGGACAACATAGCTGAACTGGAAAGTGAGCTGAATTAGAGAATGTGTCCAAATCAGCTATGTTGTCCTAGATTGTTCCCTTCTCCGGCTTTCTCCAAACCCTTCCCCCTTTTGTGAATAACCCTGTAAATCTTTCAAACCTGGGAGAAGCAAGAACCTTCCTGAAACAATTCATTTGCATAATTATGTCACCCACCAAACTAAGAGGTAGGCGTTACATTTTGAACAAATAGGCATCGTACACAAGTCCTTTGGCATGCAATGTCATGTCAACAGTGGGATCTATATGCAAGCCATCTATATAGCATAACATCTGACCCCCAGCAAAAACCATGTCACAAGCTGTACCTTGGCTTTCTCCAACTGTGTCTGGGCCTGTCGCTCTGCTTCCCTGCGCACCGCCTCCCTGTCTTCCTCCAAAGAGACATCAGAATCAGATGGACGGCTGGTGTAGGAGTCCGCCGAACCCTGCAGAGAGGAGAACATGAGGTAATGGCTGTAAAGACACCGCATTTCATGACATGGTACAAGGAATGGAATTTTAAGGATACCTCTCAGCATAGAAATATTGACATGTTTTTGGAGGTGGTTGTACTTTTTAACCACTTCAAGCCCAGGTGTTTAGACCCCCTTCCTGGCCAGGCCATTTTTCAGTGTTCAGCGCTGCCGTACTTTGACTGACGTTTATTCCGTCATGCAGCGCTGTACTGAAATTAATTTTATACCATTTTTACTACTACGGCCGGCCCGGAGGCAGTTAAAAGGAAATCCGTCACTTGAAGGAAAACTGTACTTGAGGTACACTTGAACAAAAACAAAAAACAGAGCCCACCCTCTGCCTATACATCCCTTACAGCCAAGGAAGGTGCCATCTTAGCCTCTATTTGGATTGCAGTTGCCATGGTGCTGCACATGTGATCAGCTATGGCACCAGCCATTTTGGGGCTTGAAAGTTTGGTTGAGAGCTGAAATAAGAATACTGGTAACCTTGCCAGATGGCATGCCTTAAAAAAACTGCTGTGGGAGAAATTAAATTGGTGGATAAAGTTCCTCCTAAAAAAGAATCTGATGCATTTGCTATTCAGGGCAAATGTAGGGCATTGTAAGAGCAAACCTCAATTCCAGGTTGGGGCGACCTGAATACTGTTAGGCACTGTTAAGGGAGAAAGAAGTGAACCCAGTGCAAGCTCCACCATCATCCTACAAAGGGCTTACATAGGGATTAGACTCCTGACTCTAATGGAGGAACAGAGCGACTGGGGAG